TAATTTTTTGTTTATAAACCACAAAGGTTTCTCTTGTTTTTGTTTTTGTTTTTGTTTTTGTCAAAATAAAAATTTTAGTTGATAAACATTTTAAATTTAATTTCATTTTAATGTAAAAACTTAAGCTTATATTTAAAAATTAGGACTTTAAGTGGTTTGTCAAATGATTTTTCAAAAAAAAAAAAATAATAATAATGTTTTTGTGATTTTTTTTTAACAAAAAAGAAACAAAAAGTATAAAATCCACAAAAAATAAAAAAAGGTAACAATAAAAAAAAAAAAATCTTACATTAATAATGTTTCTAAATATTTTATAAAAAGTTAGAAATTTAAAATTAAAAAAAAAAATTAAAAATTTTAAATAATTATAAAAACAAATAAGAAAATAATTTAAGTATTGATATAAGAAAACAATGAAATAATAAAAATTATTAAACGCAAACAAATACAAATACAAACAAAAATAGTTATAAAAATTATAAATTATACATTTAAGAAATTAATAACATCACTAAAATAAATTTATTTAAAAGTTAAATTAAAAAAAAAAATTTTTTTTTAAATAAAAAATAAGTAAAATTTGAATTTAGAAAAATATTAAATATTTTTAAATAGTTACAACCATAAAAGAAATAATTAAATTAAAATTAATAATACGCATTAGAAAATAATAACATTAAAAATGCAATGAAAGTCAAACCAACAAAAAAAAAATATTAAGAATAAGATTCTACAATTAAAAAACCCGTTTTCTTTATTATATAAAAACACAAAAACCTTAAAGTGTAATTAAAATATAATATTATATTAATTTTTGTTTGTGAAAAAAAAATTAATTTTTTAAATCAATTAAAAATATTACAATTATAATAACAATTAACCTAGTAATATATAAATATATATATACATATTTATCATATTTGCATATATATATATATATACATATATATTATGTGTTTTTTAACTTAATGCTAGATACTAATAAACTGAAATGCAGTTGAGGTATATTGATTTTACTTGGTTGTAGTAATTATTATAGTTTGAACTTATTTTTTAATTTTCTATTTATTAAAATTAAAACTAAAAGTGAACTTGGTTGAGCTTAAACAATTAAACATATAAAATATAACAAATACATGTATATATTAATAAAGAAACTTAAACAACAATAATTTTTTATTTTTTGATTAGGAATCAAGCACTTATTTTCCGTATATTTAATTATTATTTTTTTGTTTTTTTTTATTTAAATTAACAGATCTAAGCCTATGAAGTGATTATCTTAGTGCTTGTTTAGTTTGTTTTATATTAGGAAACAACATTTAGAGAAACCGTAAACAATTTTGTTTTCTTGTTTTATTTTGTGTTAATGATTTTCATATTTGAATTTTAAAATTTAATTTATTTTGCTATGGAGTAAATTTTTAATTTTAATATATATCAATGCTGTTGTTTTATTTTATTTAAATTTATTATTTAATTTTTTTCCAATAATTTTATGCTGCACCTGCGCTAATAAAAATTTCTTGTGTGAGTTTATTGTGAATGTCGAAAGTTTTAAAAACAGATATGTATTCACAAGCAAAACACTTTCAACAAAATAGTAATATTTGAAACCACAATGATACAGCAGATTTTTAAATAGAATATCAAATGAATATCTTGAAATACTTTTTCAATTCTCATATACAAATATTCAAATAAAAAAAATTAGTAAATAATGTTATAGAATACAGTATGTATATTATTGTTGCTGGTAAAGCTACGCTTTCTTTATAGTGACAAAGAAGTGATATTTAAATTTTTTAGAGAATAAAGATTAAAAAAATTTTTAAAGTTTAAAAAAATATTAAAACAACAAATTTTAATTATATTTTTGTTAAGTTTTTTTATTTTTGTTGGGCTTTTTAATTAGCTAGGGCTACTTTTGCAGAGAATTATTAGTGTAATTTATTCGTGTCTTGCTCTTTTTAAGAGGGGCTTCTCTCATTAGCAGCATTGTTATACCAAGGATTGTGCAATAACAGCACTTATTATAGCAAGCGCATCACACAATTAACGAGAGCGATGGGGTCTTGGTGATTTGCTAATAGTTTATAGGTTCGAATATCTGTTTTGGTTAAAAATATATAGAGCGATGTGCAGCTCAATAAATCATATATATATCAATTTTAGTAATTTCATCAAATAAATTAGTTTTTAGTACGTCGTACATGGTAACCCGTACTATTAATATGATAAAAGTTTTTCTGCGGTATTTTTAGTAAACTTTTATTATTATCTTTATGGTAAAATATAATTGATTATAAAGAGCTGAAAAACATAAAAATTGAAACTGTGTTTTCAGTACACCTTAAACTATTTTCATCTATTTAATGTGTTTAAATTAATATCATATGTAGTTGGCTTAGTCGAACTAAGATAAATAATTCCTTAAGAATCAATTCAACCACAATAGACTGATTTCATTTAATAACTTTAAATAGACATGAAAATATTATAAAGTGTAAATATTTCATTTCGTTGTATATATTTAAAATTTAATTTAAAAAATATTAATAGTAAAAAAAAAAAATTATTATTTGGCATGCATTGATTTCTATTTAATTTTGGTTACTCAAGAGATATATATTGTATTAATATAAATCAAATTGTAGGTGTGTCTATGTTACCAATATTTTTTCAAGACTTTATAATTTCTTATAAAAGAAAGAAAATTATTTTTTTTTAATTTTGCATTTCAGTTTCGATTTTGTTGTGAACTTGGTACTGTATAAAGAACAGCCATTTCTGCTAAGTAAAAACGTTTTTCTATTGTGAATTAACAAGTAATTTGAAAGGGATATATTTTACAGTTTTGTGATATATGTGCATATGTACATTTTCTATTTTATTTTATTATTTTAGTTTCTTTTATATTCTAAAACTGTACTTTTTAATTTTTTTAAGACTTTATATTTTTAAGATGGAAAATTTTTTTTATTTACCCACTTCCTACTTTTTAACGTATATGCAAAACGAATACATAAATAAAATCTATAACAATATCTAAGTAAAAAACACTTCCGAATTTGATATGAATCCCAATTATAATTAGACAATACAATATATCTATTAATATAAAAAAACATATAGTAGTTTTTTAGTTTTTTATTCTTGCCTTATCTTTGCCCTTTACCTATTAAAAATGTAAAGGTTAAAGTTTATATCATTTGGCCGAAATTAATAATAAAAATAATGTTCATATGTGCATTTAAATTTTTTGCTGGGATATAAATTTCACCACAAATTGTTTGTGTTTTTTCTTAGCCACTTATAGAGAGGCATTGCTTCGCACACAGCATATGAAAATTCATATATGCTTAGGCATAAGAAGTGCAACAAAGCAGCTAATTGTGCAAATTCGTAAAGCAAAGCACATTACAAATACAAATGCACTAAAATCATTGTTTCAAGTTGTTCGAGCAAATGTACAAATGTACAATATTTGGATAGAGCACTTCAAAAATTGAGTAATCCTCGCGCTATTCGACAGAGCATTGACATTTCATGGATGGATGATTAATTGACATTTCATGGATGATTCTATTAATTCAGAATTGCTCTCCCTTAAAACAAATATACTATATACTCAAACTATACTTCTACAAAATTATCTGAATTATCATTGAGCTATGATCTCAATGGTGTACTTGTTACTGTGGATCACGCCAGTGATCAAGGGCACTATTGAGTAAAACGGTTTTAGACACTAACTAGCGTTTCATCAAGTATATAAGATGAAGAGAAAGAGCGAGAGTTATTGTTTCAAGCAATAACGTAATATAGTTAATACTAGCATACCATACAACTCTCTGCTTTACGTTTTCCCCTAATTTCATCTTGTTTTCAACAAATACACATAATAGAAAATGTTCGAGCACCGTATAGAGTTAAAACATAAATAGGAGTTTCATGAAAATTACACTGCTCGAAGCTTTAAATAACTTAAATAATATTTAAAGCACTAGTTAATAATTTATCGAGCTGGGCATCCCTGCTTTAGCGTTTCAGATTATTTTAAATTGCTTCTATTGTGAATTGTTGTGTTATTATACTTATACTGTTTATTTTTATCTTGATTTATTTTAGATTATGTTGTGTAAACTTGGAGTGGCAGCCTTGTTATCCAAGCTCAAATTAAGACAACGGCTGATTAAGACACCACAGTTATTTTGAATTAAGTTACACAACTTTTTGAACATTGTATATTAGTTCTGCAAATTGTTCCTTTCCAATTGATTTTATCTAATTTTTATTCATTGTTCACTTATTAGAAATGCATTTTCTGCAATAATTTCTCATCGTATTTTTTTTTTTTGTGCAAATATAGTAGTTTCTTTAAAATCAATACAATATATGCTCTTGTAGCTTTTATTAAGCAGTTATAACAGTTATAACAGTTATAAAATTTGTTATAACTATACACGTATATAGATGAAATTATCTATTAATAAACACAAGAAAACTTAAACTAAATTATAGCATAAAAATTAAACATGAATCATATAACTTAATACAAAATTAATATAACATATATATTCTTGAGGTCCTAAGGTTATACAAACTAGAATTTAAAGTAGCATACATACAAACAAAAATAGTATCATACAAACAAAAACGTCTTACATTACAATATATGTTAATTGATTTTTCACTTTAAAATTTTTTCGTTTTTAACATTACAACAAATTACTAAAGCTAAGCAAAAATAATATTTATCTATAGGTATATATAAAAACCGTTTAATATTTTATCGGTTAGCCATAGTTTAAAATTGTTTTTTGTTTTTTTAAATATTAAAAATGCAATTATAATTGTGTATGCATTTTGAAATTAATGTTAGTGTTTACATATGATATTTAAAATATTATGCAGACATCTCAGTGATATTTGTTTAATTAATAGTTTCACACGAGGTAATAAATTTAATTTTTAATAATTTCTTGCCTTCTAAACATATTTATAAAATAAAACAAAAATGTTAAATTGTTTTTAGTTTTAGAAATATTTTGACTTTAGCATTAATGAGGCATTGAAAAGGTTTTGTGCGACTATCCATAACCATATGCGCTTTATGGTTGCCAAAACATTCAAATGGACGAACCTAATTTACATAAACGATCTGGATGTTTGACGCGTAAGTGTGAACGTAACGTATCTATGCGACTATATGTTGCTGGGCAATAGGGGCACATGGAACGTTGTGCGGTGTGTGAGTGAAAGTGATGCCATCGGTTGGTGACCTCTTTGCCGCAAGAACGACAACGCCACATTGTGCCCGGTTCGCGTGATTGTGTGAACATATTGTGATAGGACATTTGATGATGTGAAGGTGGTGTGGGTGTAGTCGATCCTATTGCCTGTGATTGATTATAGCCGTGTGGTTGTCCGGTGTGATGTCCGCCATTACTATTCCGTATGTAGTCCAAATGATATTCGTTTTTTAATGCTGCACTCAGGTGCATGCTGAATGCATGCGGTAGCGGTGGAGGTGGTGGTGGTGATGCTGATGATGTAGTCGAAAGTGGTGTTGAAAGATGATGACGTCCCCCCGGCCCTGTTTGTCATGAAAATAAAGAAAACACACCACAAAAGGGGCGAAAATAAGCCCAAGAGAAACAAATAGTTTTGGTTTGGATTGGAAGCACGTAAAATGTGTAACTTAAGATAATACATATACATATAGTATAAATAATAAATAAATAAATATATGATAAATAATCAATAATAAATTAATAAAATATAAGCTATAAAACTATAAGCTATAACAAAAATTATATAAATAAAATAGCTATTATTAATATTCTAAAATATACATAATAATACGAAAATAAATATTAAATATTTTAATATTTTTTAACCAAAATTATTATTACTATTGTGTTATATTGGGCTAATTGTGTTAAATAAAAATATTGAACTAAATAAAAATTAGTGTAAAACAATTTACAACAAATAAATTGTTTTTGTCTGTTTTTTATTTTTAACAGAAATTTAACGTAATTAGCACAATATAATAAAATATATAAGAAATTAATTAAACGAAAAAAACTTCTTCTTTAAATGTGTATTAAAATTAATGTTCTCTGAAATCTAATTTTTTAACTTTTCTAAGATAAAGCTTTTTCTTTAAAATAAGTCTATTTGTTGCATATTATATTGTTTATGACAGTACATATTAATCTGCTTTTAAATGGAATAGTATATTGATAACATTTAATTGTGAATAGTCTTTAAATAAAAATTTGCTTTTATTCACAATAGATACTTAAACTTAACCCTTTTGTTTCCTACACTAAAAGCTTTTTATATTTCAAGACACATAGAGTGTTGAAGTGTATTGTATGCAGTATGTCCTATAATAATTTTTATTTACGTCACAAAGGGAATTAATATGAATGAAGTTAAGCTCTACTGGCAACATTAAAAAAAAGCAGAAAACTATTTTGAATTAGATTGTTCTGATATTGAAGGTAAGTTGTTAAATGGTTAAATTATTGTTTTGTGAATAGCAATAAAAATATATTGAATTGAATTTAAACATATTTATAAATTGAATTATTGAATTGAAATATTGAACATTATATATGTATAAATAAATTATATTTAAATATGTTAACTGATTTAAATATGTCATTTAAAATTATGATAGTCAATCAAATGAATTTTAAATATTTGATTTTAATTTGTTTATTTGTAAATAAACTTTAATATTACTTTCTTTGATAAATAAAACGAAAGAAATAATATTTTCGTACGCAGAAATAACAAATATATTTCTACTATCATAATTGCAACATTACATTTGGAACTAGTTATTTTATTTAACAGGTTTAACTTCAATAACAAATGTTTCTATTCATTAATATAACTTGTTTGAAGTCACTTAACTTATTATTTTACATTTAACATGTTAAATGGGTGGCTGTAGTCAAGGCTTTATTGACAGTTTATAGTTAACCACAATTTAATTAGAATAAACCTGTAGGCATACAATAAAAACTTTATAAGAATATGAATATAAGAAAATGAATGTCTTATAACAATATAAATCTACTATTGTACTATTATTGTATTGCCATTAAAAATTAGACAAAAAATTAAATAATTAATTAATTAGTTTTAATCATTTTTGTTGTTTTTTTGAAGTAAACTAACTGCAATGTTTCGAGGTCTTAAATTAGTTTTAATATAATTTTTGTTGTTAAAAAATATATTATATATATTATCTTTTGTATATAATAAAACAACAAACTATATGAAAACTTAATTTGAATACCTAATTTTAAATATAATTTGTATTTGAAATAAGATACAGAAATTCAATTTATTTCTTTGAAATATAAAAATTAATATTACTTTTAAAAAATCTAGAATAATATATAAATAGACTTAAATATAGAACAAATGTTATACAACACTGATTTCTATTATTTAATTTTCGTTTCTTAGCTTACTAAAAACAACATATCAACACCGTCATAAAATACAAATTGTCAATTATTACAAAAAGAAATATATATATATAAAAATATCTTTTAATTAAATTAAATAAAAATCTATAAACCATACATACTACTTTTGTATAAGTCTATAAAAATAACTTATAACTTATATAACTATAAAGTGAATATATATGAAAGACTCACGGCCAATCAAATCAACGTAGTAATCACGCTAATTACCAATCGATTATTGGTGAAACTAAGTGAATAGTAATATTATTATCTATTGTGAATGTTTTCTGTATTGCATGTGAATACACTTCAAAAAAATTTAAATCACATTAATGTTAATAAGATTAATATTATTTAATCTACGAAAAAAATTTTGATTGAACTTTTTGATTTTGAACTATAAGTAGAATTTAAAAATAGTGCCAAAATTTTTTTAGTGAGACCAATAAACAATTAGAAATTAAATTAAATTAAAATTATTAATTATTGAATAATTTTTTAATTACGAGCTTCTATTTCTCGAGATTGCTATTTTCCAGTCCCAAAGGACTTTAGTCTCTAAACTGACTTAAGCATCAATCAAGTAAAAAAATTAATGATTTAATTCAGTATTTACGCTCAAGTGACGACTGACCCTATTCCCTATTTTTAACTAGATCAGTTAAGCTGTTCAGATTTTCAAATAATTTTAATTATGTATGTATATATGTATGTAAGTGAACTTGTAAAACTAAATTCATGAACATATTACAGGCATACATATATTAACATATATTAAATAGAAATTATTAAATAAACAATTTAGCCTTTTTTTTGAATATTTAAAAATAATATTTTAAATAAGTATACATATATTCTGCAGGTAGATTCTTTCATATACGTTTAATAAATAAACTTATGGTGACACCCATAGATTGTATCGGGACTGTTGTACAAAAAGGGTAGATTTTTAACTAAATCTATGCAATCGTTTAAAATAAATCGTTTGTGGAAAAGATTCGGGACTTGCAATTTGTTATATAGTTCATAGTATTGTATTGCATAATTGTATCACTTTTCGTTTCACATTATAGAAAGGTATAATCATATTAAATAGTATTCTATAACTTAAGAAAATTGTACTATTTATTTAAATCAATAAATAAATCAAATTCTCTACCCTCTCTATTCTATTAGAACGCGTTTTAAGCATTAGGCTGCTGCTATTGTGAATGGTTGAATTTATGTTTGTTCAATTTGTTAACTATTTCAAAATTCTTTTTTAAATTTTTGTGACTTAATATGTTTATATTTAATTATATAGAGTATTATTACTTTATTAACTTTAATAATAATGTAATCTACTTGAATAAAGAAATTGCATTGATTTTAAGTGTTGCATGCTTGCTTAAAACCCATAAACACCATAAACCTCGAAAATTATTTAAAAAATATCGTGAATTATATATCATGAGAATAGTTTCTAAGAATAAATAATACCCCATATGACAACAAAAGCTCACTAATCGTAATAAATAAAATAATAATAACATTTTCATATATATAATTTGGTTCTCTGCGAAGAGAATTTTTATTTACGACACTATAAAGCATATCTTTACTGCCAGCGATTATTAAAATATTTAGAAGTATTAAGAACTAAGAATTTACGTTATGAGAATGCATAAGCTTAAATTATATAGCTGGTACCATTTTATTAAAATCTATTGTGAACTAACACTTTTAACTTATTTTCTGAAAGGAACTCAGTAGCTGACTAAAAGTATATATCTAAAAAATTTTAAACAATTGGATAAACGATACTTTAGTAAACTTATATATATTATGAAGAAAATATATAATAATCTATTTATTAAAATTACTCT